CAGGAGTGATCTGCCTGCAGCTGAGCCTCCTGCTCAGCCTGAGTTGGAGAATCAAGACCTTGTAGATGAACCCGACATCATTCCTGTGGAAGCGGATAATATTGATGAGGCTTTACAAGAAGAAGAAGAACAGAGAGAGACAGAAAATATGGATCAAAATGATGATGATGAACTGGGAGAAGCTGAAAATATCAAAGCTGATCCGCAGACTGAGATTACTGCTGAAACACTGGAGACGAGAGACTCAGCTGAACAAAGAGATTTCAAATTGGAAGAAATCAGAAGACTCTCTGAAGATGAAGAATCTGCTTCTGTTTCAGTTCCAGGAGAACCTCCAGCTGCTGTTAATGATGCAAAGTCTGCCGCAGAAACAGAAGCTGTTGAGGACGAGGAAGAGCATCAGCAACCAGTGTCTGGTGAAGTGCAGCTGCCTGAGAGGAACGGACCTGTTGAAACAGGGCAGGAAGAAACTGAGTTTGCTGTGGAGAACAAGAAGCTTGACCTCCAAACATCACATACTGAGGAGGAACCAGAGGAGAAAAGCAGGAGACGACTTAGGTATAAAGATGTTGAAGAGGAACCTGCAGAGCAGCTTGTTTGTTCAGAAAGCCAAACTGAGAAACAAACCACAGCCTCTCAGAGAAAGAAAGCTCCTTCTACTCCAACACGGAGGATGACGAGAGGAAGGAACGTCACTTTCACCTCTCCGCTCCCAGAGGCGGCAGACGAGCCAGAGCAAGACGGAAAAGCAGTGATTGAAAAAACGAGAAGCGTTCCAATCTCGCCTACTCGTACGCCTAGGAAAGGTAAAGCGATCCAACCTGTCACACCTCGTAGAAGTACTCGCAAAACTCATGCAGAGCCTCCTGAGGAGGAGCCTGCAAAGGTTGAAACAGAGATATCAGTTGTGTCAACCTCCAAGAAGGCTTCCCCAAGCAGACGATCACAAAGAGCCGCTGCAGCAAGAACCGACAGCAAAGAGAATCCTGCGACCACAGAGGTGGAGGTCAGAGAGGACAGCCAAGACGATGAGGTTGCTGAGACAAGGAGTCGCAGAAGCTCCAAGACTCAGACCCCTTCTAAGCAGAGAACCTCCCAGGCGACTCCTTCCAGGAGGTCCAGCCGAAAGACGAACACCAGTGAGGTGGAGCCAGCTCCTGTGAAAGTAAAAGAAGAGGACAAAGAGAAGCAGGTTGTCCCTCCTGTACAACGCAGCTCCCGGAGAATGAGATCAGAAGTGCTGCCAGCTGTGTTTGAAGAAGAAGAGGAGAAAAAATTGCAGCTTCCGAGCCCTGGGAGGGCAACGCGCCAGTCCAGCAGCAACACCCTAAACATGTATCCACAGGTAAGAAATCAGCCTCACAAGAAAACCTTTCATCGACATCCTCAGAAATCCTGTTTCTGTTGTCATTTTCATCTGTTCATTATGTTCATCCATTATGTTCATCCATCTTCTACTCACATTTGAAATCCATAGGTCACACTGGTTCCTCTGTCCCTTCCTCAGAGCACCAGGAAGAAGCGACAAGAAGCTGCTATAGAAGTGAAAGAAAGCAAATCTCCTCTAAAGTCCGATTCTAACAAAAGCACTAGTCAGTCCAACTCACGCCGCCCAACTAGAAGTAGGCTTTGGGGCCACACTGAGGAGGATCGGCCCCTGCTGGACTCGCCATTAGAGGTGGACTCTGAAACCCCTGTTGCAGATGCCCTCATCAAGAGACTCGAGGATGAGGAGGAGAAACAAGAAGGTACAAACCAGGCAGCTTTTTAACTTTGAAATGTCTTTTAACAGTCCAGTTCCTCTGGGTTTAAATGTTTAGGGATTCAAAGGCATGTTGTGTGTAAGAATGAAGACCAAAATGAATATCTGAATTGTTGTCTTTAACACAGGTGGTGCTTTGATAAAGTCAGAGAGAACCAGGAAGAGGAGTACAAAATCATCAGTGAAGGAGCTTTCATCTCAGCCTCCTAAAACGGACAGCCTGGTGCCTGAACCTGCAGAAGAAGAGTCCAGTCCAGGGGAGGACTCGTTTATCTACTCGCCTTCCAGACGGCGGCAAACCAGAGGTGATCTGACCTCCGGCTCCATTTCTTTCACCCATCCATGATTATTTTAAAAAGGGCTGAAGCTAAGCATTATTTTGCTAATCGCTTGATCTGTTTATTTTTTTTATTTATTTTTTTATTATAACTGGATAGAAAAGATTCCTTTAAAAATTTTTTTTTGCAGAATTACACCAGGTTAAACAAAACATTTCCACTTGAGGAGTTCTGGATAAAGGATATTGACAGACGTAAAAATGTATTTCCTAAATTAAAAACTAAATATTTATATGTATTTTTTTTTTTTAACAATTTTGGTATATTTGCTACTGTAAGTAGGTAGCTCTGTCAGCTAAAGACATATTTTAGTCTTTATACTCCATTTACAATTAATCGATTCTAAAATTAGTTGAAGGTTATTTCAATACTCAATCACCTTTGATCTGATTGTTTCAGTCCTATTTTGTAACCTTGTACCGTTTCTCTGTTTCAGCTCATAAAGCAGAGTTTGCTGCTCCAAGCGAGGACCTGGAAGTACCAGTTACACGCAGAAGAACTAGAGTAAAAGATATTCCTGCTCAGGTAGAGGGTTAAAAACCAGGCAGTATTTTCCTGCGTCCCTTGGTGGTGGTCTGTCTCATGATGTCTGTTTTTGTTCTCTTTCAGGATAAAGTTTCTACAGAAAAGGACCTTCCTGAAGTGGAGAAAACCACCAAACCCAGAAAAGAAAGTAAAAAAACAGCAAAGTAAGAATTGCTTTCCTTTTTTTTTTCTTCGCTTTCAAGATTTATTATGGAACTACATAAATAATGTCTGCTATATTAAGCGCTAATAAAAATTTCCTTTTTTTATTTTTTATTATTATTATTCCCCCCTCATCCTCAGACCCAGAGCGCTTTCAGAGCCTGTTCCCAACGTAGAGGTGGACCTGATCTCTCCGCTGCCTAGTCCAAAGGAGCCTCTCCCTCGAGCTCTGACGAGGATAACAGACGGAGAGGCACCCATCACCACTAGGAACCTTCGCCGCAAACGTATAAGGGATGCCGTTTTCTCAAAGCCCGTCACCAGAAGGAGGAAACTATGAAGATGTCGTAACAACCAGTGAACCTCAGGCAGCCACAGGAAGTTTTGAAGCAAAAATCTGTTGAAAAAAAAAAGAACGGCCTGGACTTAAAATGGTTCTGATTCTTAAAATGCCACATCGTGCTGCACTTCTTCTGGAAGACGGTCTCTGCTGGGAGGATAATGGAAGCTGTGGGAGGGTTTTATTTGTCGGACAAAACGGCAGATTAATAGTGATGAGGATATATTTTTGCCGTTTACATTTCCTTCTCATGCAAACTTGATGTCACTTGATAGGTGATCATTTTGTATCGGGCGTCTTGATTTTGAGCTCTGGACACCCAAAGGCACAGAGAAAAGCCATCAGTGTGGGGGGTTTGAGCGTCCCTAAGGGAAAAAAAAACGAATATGATCCCATGAAGAGGTTTTATTGGCAGTCTGATATTTTAAGGATTTTCTTTTTCTTGTTATTGTTTACTTTTAACAGGCCTGTTTTTCTATTCATGAGGAAAAAGGCAATCGACTAGTAGGGATCTATTTCTACTGCTAGATTTGTATATAGTCATTTGTTATGTTCCAAATAAAGTTAATAATTAAATCCTAAGGAATTAAGTTTATTTTGAAGTGTCTTGAATGCATTTGATGATCATATCAGATTGCCTTTGCCAAAGTCTTAAATTCTCAATAGATTTTGGGGGATTTTGTGTGGAAAAATGCTGCTGTTGGCAGATCTGGGAGAGATGTAAAGGAGAAAAGATGCACAATTAACAGATGTAAACAAAGCTCCGGAGATTGTTTAATGCAATTTATGGCAAAAAGCATCTGATTCAGACTATTTTCTGATGAATGTATGTAGAATGTCTTATTTTTGATGACTGCTCTTTGATAAATACAGCTTAACTTAAAAACAAAAATCTGCTTTCTGTTTTTTTTCTTCCTGCTGTTTTGAGTGAATGTGTGATGAAAAACTGTCTCAATACAAGGCTAGAGCTACACACATTTCTGCACAGACAATAGAAATGTTAAAATAATTTTATCATGTTCCCTCACCATCTTTTGTCTCTTATGCTTAATAATATCAAGGCTGGTCAACTCTTCTAGCAAAGGTTAATACGTTTCAAGCTTTACTCAAGATAAAGATGTGCTCAGGTATAAATTGTCTTAAATCTAGTCTAAAATTTACATTCTGTAAGTTTTTTTTATACAGCAAGTAAATTGGAGTTTCTGCAAAGTTATGCAAAATCAGGAAATAAAATGGAACATGACAAAGGGGGACACCTGCTGGTCATTTTGTGCAAGTTTTGGGCTCATCTTTATATCAAGTCCAAAATAAAAGGTAATAAATGTATAGATTAACTCGGTGATACATGGACGATTTTAAAGTTTTAAAATGGGTTTTAACACCCCTAACTACATTTGCTTATTTACAGCTAATTATACAGCCAGAAACTTAACTACTCCATAAAGCAGATTATAAATTTTGAGAAGTTCAAATATTCCTAGTGATGAGTGAATCCAATCATCTGTTTAAGTAACTGGTCTGAAAGGTAGAAAGTAAACTGAACTGAGTTATAATGTGAAGCCTAAACGCTAGTCTAACAGTAGGTGTTTTATAATTCATGTTGATAGATCAGGTGAAAGTAAAACCAGGACCAGCCGGCTCTACAACAAAAACAAATAGAAAAACAAAAGGTAAATATAATTTAGGACTGTTTTCTTACATTAAATATCCAATGGGTTCATTACTGATCAAGAATAAAACACAAAGTGTGCAGTTTAACTTTATCTCCACATGCAAACTGTGTGATCCTGGCTGCCTACATGTTCCTGTGTAACTGATACAGCCTGTGATGCTCTGCTGCAGGGAGCTGATCTCTCAGCCAGTCTGTCCCCGTCTGTAGCAGCTGCATGATGAGGGCCAAGGCCTCAGACATGCTCAGGAAGGACTGCGTCAAAGTGGCGGTTAGAGTGCGCCCATTCAACAAGGTCAGTATGCTTTCTTTTAGTTTCTATCTTCAGTATTGATGTTCCTGCATAGGTGTGTCTAAAGCCCCTATTTTCAGGTACTGTAAAGGAGGATGTTATTTAACTGAGAAATGGGCTATGAAAACATAGATAAGACTTTCATGGCACATATTCTAAGATATGTATTTTAACTATATTATAACAAATTTCTTCTGCATCATGTAGAATAAAATATCTAACAAGGATAAGATATAAGGGCAAGGGAAAAAATCCTCATTAGGCAGCAGCCTAATGAGCAAATGCAGAACAGGTGTGACAGTGGGAGCAGTGAGCAGGCAGGACAGGCAGAGGAATGACCCAAGTAGAAGGTAGGTTTGATAAAAGTTGAGAATATTAGATTTAGAAATGTTCGATTGAGCTATTTGACCATATTCTACTGTTTTTAGGAGATTTTGGAGGCCAGACCTGATTTCATTTTAAAATGAATATATGTTTGATGGACACACTTCTGTTCATTTAATAACAGCGGATATTGAAGCTAACTTGTTGGTCCATTGATAACTATAGGCTATATATATAAATTAGTAATTTCTCATAATTCTCTTTGTACAATACAGTGAAGTTATTTTTGCTGTTGGTTTAAGTAAAATATTTTCAAATGTTTGCAGAATGAATTTAGCCTTATTCTATGAGATGCAGGCTGCAGTCCCTTTGAAGTATGTCTTTACCATCTTTGCATGTGCACAATCTTTTTCTGCCAAGTTTTTGTGAATTAACTTAAACTTGGTCCGATTAGTGGACAGTGTTATAACAGCTGTTTTAAAAATCTTGCCAAAAATACAAAGCGCTGCTATAGGTCTAATAGGTGTCAATAAAAACATACATCCTTTAATAAAAAAACATTGTTTGTCTCGCTGCATATTGGTGCCATTTTTACCATTTATATCAACCCCTCTTGCTGTCACTTTGACCAGGCTCAACTGTGCTAAAGAAGAGCTTTCACTTAGCATTATGCTGCCACTACCATGTTTTACTGTGGATAATTTGTTCTGACTGCATTGCTGTTTTTTTTCTACACACATACCACTTTGCGTATTGCAAAAAATGTTTACTTTAAGTCTCATCTTACCAGAGCTGCTTCTTCAGAACCATTGTAAAGTTTTAAAGGCTTGAATATTTAAGGTCATCATATGATGAATTGGATGGTGTTTGGTTTATCACTGAAGCCACTTGTCTGAGTTTAAGATTTACATATTTTTCTTATATTTCAGAGAGAGAGGGATGCAGGCAGCCGTTGTGTTATCTCTCTGGTGTCAACCTCCATCAGCATCCAGGACCCTCGTGACTCCCACAACCGACGTTCTTTCTGCTTTGATTATGCCTACTGGTCCCACAGCGGCTTCACCAGAGACCACACTGGTCTCTTTGTTCCTGAAGAGCCAGGGGGACGATACGCTGACCAGGTGAGCTCCCAGGTGACCCGGTGGGACAGACGACCAATATTTACCAGACAGAGAAAAAAATTTTGAGCAAAATTTTGGTTAAAAGGCCTTTAAAGTCAGGGTTGCATAGATGAGCATATGAATAATGGCAGCTAATCTTTGAAATCCTAGCAAAGTGTTTTCCAGGATCTTGGAGTGGGAATACTGGAGAACGCCCTGCAGGTAGGAACCTCTCACTCTTAGGTTACCTATAATGTCACTGGGCATAAATTGGCTTAATAAATCAACTCTTGAAAGGGCTACAACACCACACTGCTTGCATACGGACAGACTGGATCAGGGAAGAGTTACTCAATGGTGGGCCACGGGCCTAACAAAGGCCTGGTTCCTAAACTATGTGATCGACTGTTTGAGGCAATCAGAGAAAACCAAGAAAACAGAAAGTGTCAGGTAAGGCGTTTAACAGGACATGGCTAGACTTACTGTCATGGTGGTTATATTACCCACAGATGTTGGTCTTCATCTCCTTTTCCTGTAAATCTGATACATGTTCCATGCTGACAGAGAAAATGGACAGTGTGGAATATAGTAGTGTTTAGCAGAAAAGAGAATAAACATGATTTAATTCTAAATCTTTTTTGATGTGTGCTTTAGGTCTTTTTTAGTATGCTGGAGATCTATAATGAGCAGGTAAATATGGGGCTTTTTGAAAAAGAAGTTACTGCTTTTTAAAGTTTACTGGCACTCTAGCTTTACTGTCAGTGGGGCTTTTGCTGCACTGACTGCAAAGCTTATTTTTCTCACGATCTTCTTTCTTTAAAGGTGGTCGACCTGTTATCTCGGGGGTCTCGCACTGCAGCCGGACTTAGAGTGAGGGAGGAGCTGCAAAGGGGCTTCTATGTTGAAGGTCTTCGTAAAATCCCCTGTGAAAATGCTCTGCAGGTAAAAGACAGTTTGTTACAAAACAGTTATTAGAGCTTTAATTTATTCCTTAGTTTAGCTTGCAGATGATTAACATGTGGGATATAACTGAAGTTGAAGGGAAAAAAGTGTTAGGGTTACTAAGCCCCTTTACCCGATTGGCCTAAACTAAAATCCATACCACCAACTGTCTTCAGAAGTCACTTCAATAATAAAACCTGTCTGCTACTGTAATGAGAGAAGCAACAAAAGGGGTCCTTTTAACTCATGAGGAACTACAGAAACCCAAGGCTCCGGTGGTTACCAGGACAACTATTGATCCTCACATACAGTGTATGGTACTCTGATCAGAAGGGAACAAAATGTAACATTTTGATCTATATTAAGGATTTCCAACTCCAGTTCTGGAGCACAGGGTCCTCCGTGTTTTATATTTGTTCCTGCAGAGCTGTTCCACAAAATTTAGAAATCCAAGACTAGAGATAAAGTCAGATTGGAGCAAGCATTAACCGTGCATCCTTGGTTTATCTGTTTCACAAAGGCCAAGTCAGGCTCAACAAATGCAGTCTTGTCAAGCAATGTGTAAGTTATCAAGCTACATGCAGGTCTGCAGCTTTCTTCAAGAAGCTTTAAAGTCAATCATAGATTCACCAAAGCGGCAAACAATAGTCCATTGCAAAAAATTGAAATCTCTTTTTCCTTAAAATAAGTGCAATTTGTCATTCATTTAGGAGATAAGACTGTTTGTAGATGGAACAAGACAATTTACATTTAAAATAAATAAATAAATAGTGCATATTATCTAATTATCTTATTTTAAGATTAAAAATACTTAATCCATTTGCAAACCATATTATTTACCCAATCAAATTAAGAGTAAATACACTTAATTTAAGAAAAATGTTACTATTATAACCTCTTATTTTGAATGAAAACTTTATTCTAAAATGTTTTCAAGCACCAGATATAATTTATAATTTTAGCTGTTGCAAATCCTGTTATTATTTATTCAAACATCACTGAATGACTGAAGAGAAAATGTAACATGACCCAAACTTGGAAGCACATCTAAGATTTAAATTTTGTGTTTCATTTAATTGTGATTATATTGCAAATGCATGTAAACATAGTCAACAAGCTCATTCAATTGGGTTGTTTCTTAGTTAGTTTTATAAATAAATCTGACTCCACTGTAGGTGGAGCAGTTGATGGAGCAGGGGACCAGGACCCGAACCACTGCTGCCACTCAAATGAACGCCAACAGCAGCCGTTCTCACATGCTCATTATTCTGCAGCTCAAACAGGTAAAACATTTTCATGCTTTAAAGAACCAATGAACAACCACTTTGAGAGGAAATGGTCTGAGCCGTTGATTTGATGTCTAAAATAACATTTAGTCAGTTTGTTTCAGGTTTGTGTGTGCCAATTGGAGCAAACTGTACAAACCACCTCTAGTCTTAATGGACTAATCCATGTCCAGTTTTATCGAATTAAACCCAATCCAACCCAAACTAACAATATTAAATTATGTGATTCATATCCAGCTACATTTAATGGAAGTTTATCCTGTTTCTACTATTTAGCAACTCAGCTGACTGTAATGCCATCTGGTAGAAAGCAGTGTTTTATGGAAACCCAGCCAATTACATTGTTCAGTTAACACTAAGATAATCGCACAATATATTTTCAATTATTTCAGACTGACATTTATATGTAACATTTTTAACAAATTTTATTATAAAAGTTGGTGTTTGATAATTTTTTTATTATCCTAATTGTTTTATTGTATTTCTTTGTTAAATTGTTACCTGTTTTTACTTTTACATCATTTTTGTTACTTTTTCTTGTATGTTCAGTTTTCTTTTTTTTTTGTCCCAGCTACACTTTAAAATATAACAATCTCAATATTTTTTTTCAGGATAGGATTTTTTTTTTTTTTTTCTGATCGTGTGTTTAGCGCTTGCATTGTCTCATTTTGCTTTTCAAATGTGAGAAAGTTTTAACTTTAAACTACCTAGAAGAGGTGATTACTTTTTATTCCTGTTTTTTTTTTTTTTCAAAATCGAGCCTTTGATAACATTAATTATTAGCCTTGTATTTCCCTTCTGTAACTTTTATTTATAATGGTTTTATGACTCGACTATCTTCATTAGATCTTTTCCAAGGAATGCATCACGAAGCAGTCCAACATCAACCTGGTGGACCTGGCTGGCAGCGAGCGCCAGCGATCCTCCGGCTCTGAAGCAGACAGACTCAAAGAGGGAACAGCCATAAACCTGAGCCTAACCACTCTGGGCAACGTCATCAGGTTGACTATTTCTTTGGATTTCCTTTTTCTCTCATGTTGCAGAATCTGTCAGTTTTCTCCACATTCTTTCTCACCCTGCAGCGCCCTAGCAGATGTTGCTGTGGGAAAAAAGGCGGTCCACATTCCCTACAGAGACTCGGTTCTCACCAAGTTGCTGCAGTCTGCACTGGGGGGAAACAGTCGAACTGTCATGGTAAACTAAACACTCAGAGATATGAGAGAGAGTTGGTCGACATGAGATGTCCAAAACTACAGTTAAAGTTGTCAAAATGAATGATTTATTTAAAATAAGAAATATTAAATTTTTTTGTTCGATCCCCTTCAATACCCTGAAAATAAACCTTATTCTGTGAAGGCCTCAGAGGTTAGTTGAAGAACATCAGTGATCAAACAGCATCAGGAAAAGCAAAGAACACATTAGACATGGACAGGGGATGAAGTTTTTGAGGACAGTTAGGTTATAAAACTATATCTGAAGCTGTTAAAGTCTCACAGCACTGACCTAATTGCTCTGAAAAACAAAAAGAACCCCTAAAGCCACAGCCGTCCATTAAAATGACAGGCCAGACAAAAGGAAAAATCCTCGACCAGAGTTTCAGCTATGAGGCTTGTGGAAACTCAAAGAGCTGCAGAGACCAACGGCTCACTCTGGAGAATCTAATAAAGCAAACACTATTGATCACGCACTCCACATATCTGTCCTTTACAGAACTATTAAAAAGTCGCCACTAATGCAGGAAGACCTTAAATATCCTGTTGGCATCTTGCCACAAGCAGTCTAGAGGATGCAAAAACATATGGTGGTTCAGTTAGATGAAACAAGCCCTGAACTTCTACATCCAAAATACTGAAGAGAAACTAACACTGATTATTATTCTGAACACAACATATCCACAATAAAGCATTGTGGGGGCAGAACCATGCTGTGGGCTTACACGTTTTTGGAGTGAGTTATGTACAAAGTAATGACTGGAGGTAAACCTGTTGGAGCAGAGGTGGCCAATTCCAGTTCCTAAAGTCCAGTATCCTGCAACCTTTAGAAATATCCTCGGTTCAACAGCTGAATCGAATGGCTGAATTACCTCCTCAGTATGCAGTGAGTTCTCAATCATCTTATTACTTGATTCAGATGCATTGAACCAACAGACGCATCCAAAAGCTGCAGGATGCCGGCCGCAGGAACTGGAGCTGAGTTACAAGTTGTGAAATTCATTTCTGTATTCTTGATGTAAATTTTAAAGGGTCACATAATGTATAGTAATGTAGCCTAATAAAATGGACAATTGCTTCCGAGTAAAAAGAAATGTAGGGCTGCTCAGGAGCGCAGAGAGTAGGACCCGGGTCTTTCTGCATGGAGTTTGCATGTTCTCCCTGAGCATGCGTGGGTTCTCTCTGGGTACTCTGGCTTCCTCCCACAATCCAAAAACATGACTGTTAGGTTAATTGGCTTCTCTAAATTCTCCTTAGGTCTATCACATTAACCATCATTAGAGAAGCCTGCTCTATAGTGTTGGACCAGAAGACATTAATATAAATGCCCTCCACACTTTAAAATCTTTTTGGGAAAAAATAAAAACAATTTTCGTTGTAATTCAGTTATCTGTTTTTTTTTTTATTTTATTTTTTTTGACAGTTGTAAAAATGCACTAGTGTGAATACTTATGCAAAAAAAATGTGATAAACTGTTTTGCAAAATGTATTTCAAGATTGCCACTCTAAGTCCTGCAGATATCTGCTATGAGGAGTCTCTCTCTACCCTGCGCTATGCTGAAAGGTACATTAATCATTTAGAATTTGATTGGAAATTAAGATTTGTTTGGAAATCAAAATGAATGGTTCGTGTTTCTAACACACTGGCATATTAACATCTATTCTTCAGGGCAAAGCGTATCCAAAACAGGGCAGTGGTGAATGAGAGCCCCACTGAACGCCTTGTTAAAGAGCTAAAGGCTGAGAATGCCAGACTGATACAGAAACTGAGCCGCATGGAGCAGGAAGGGCGCAGAGCCAGTGACGAATCCAGTAAGAATCGGAGCACCATTCACCTGGCATAGGCCATGGTTGGTGGTCCCATTTATTATTTAGCTGTTTCCAGAGGAACTTCGTCAGCTGTTGACCCAGAACGAGCTCCAGATCAGAGCTATCCAGACCCTTTGGGAACAGCACCTGCAAGAGGCGCTCAAAGACTGGGAGCAGCAGTATGCCAGTATTACACAGGTGCAAACACAGTTTCTAAGGAGCTGTGAAATAAATACATTTGGAGGATAGAAATGGGCTTTTAGTGATTATCATCTTAGGCAAAAATGATTCATTGTTTTAATGATCCTTTCTCTTTCTTTCTTTCTTTCTTTCTTTGTGTTCTTGTCTCTGACACCAGGAGAGGAGGATGATGCAGACGTATCCCTACATCCTGAACATCAATGAGGACGCTCAGCTGTCGGGGGTGGTAAAGCTTTTTATTCAGGAAGGTTGGTCTTTTCTTTTAAATATAAGATGTACTCTGCCTTATATGATAAATGTTATTTAGGTCAGACACCACCCAATCCTTTATAGAGCAGCCAAAATGTTTTGTAATCTGTCCTTTTACTAACAGTCAGTGCACGACTGTATGTACAGATATGATGTATAAACGGATCTTATTCCCATGTTCATCAGGACTCTGGCAGCAGCATTACTGATGAGCCTGAGGAAAAAAATACAGTAACGGGTGAAGGGATCATGCAAATATATAATGTTGAAAAATAATATTCTTTAGTAAATCTGAAATTTGTCTTGCATCATCCTTAAAATTGAAATTATACACTAAAATGAGCAGACGGGGGTGCTGCTATGGCATGGAGGTAGAGCACATGACCCATGTGTTCGAGTCCTGGCCCTGTGACCTTTGTCGAATGTCTCTCCCTTGTCTTTTAACCCACTTTTTTGTCTCCATACTTTAGAAAATAACAAAATAAAGGCCACTAGAACCTAAAAGTAATCTAAAATGAGCAGACAATTTCAAGATGATTTATGTTCCATGTTCAGTTCTAGGATTACCTGATACGCCATTTTTCATAAAGCAGCACCTAATGGACTTCTTCATTATGGGCAGTTTTTATGACCATCAATCATTTTTACATGTCTATCATTCTTTCTATTCATTAACTCAGCATTAGGTACAGGGTTTTCTAGTGCATCGAGGGAAGTTAGTAAAACTGCATCATCAATTTTTTATTTATTGATTATAATATATTTTTACAGCAGTTATTGGTGTAAAGTCTGAACAAGAGTCAAATCTACACATCTAAGGGGAGCCCCAGTATTAGTTTCCATTACAGATAATAGTTTTTCCTTTCTAATAATCTAAATTACCAGAAGTAGATGCACACAGTTATTGGTTATTGCAATATTTAAGCTTGGATTGGGCTGATTTAATTTCAAGTAGTTCATGTTAATTTTAACTTTTTACTCTATGTTCCGAACTACAAGAAATAAGTTTCTACCTTCTGACCTTTATAGTTTGAGTCTAGCTTCACCTGGATCATTAACCTTGCATGATGACCTCTGTCTGATCTTCAGTAAACTGGAGCCAACACTGAACAATTGTATCCTGGAGATCCTTAAGTTTAAACTGCAAGGAACTTTAGCCATGTAGGGACAGAAATATAAAGTCTTGTATTGCAGAAGATGATGTAATTTACCTTAACTTAAAGTGGAGGATGGATACGAAGGAACATCAGATGGCAAATTACACAAAGAGGCTATGTGTCCCTTTTTAAATAAGGATAATAAACCAGAGGAGAGGTTTAAACAAAAATAGTAGGTTGAAACTCTTGGTTGTTGTTCCAGGTGTGTGGGACATCGGGCTTTGTGACTCTTCCCCCAGATCAATTTCTATCAAGGGCTTAGGGTAAGTTTTTGTTTTTATCAGTCTGGGATAAAAAAAAAAACAGAAACCAGCAAGCTGAGATGGGTAGAGTGACACGAGAGATGGATGATTTAAATGTGATTTTAAAAAAAACACACCAAAAAACAGAGTTAATTTTCATTTAACATTCACAATGATACAGGTGCTGGTCATAAAATTAGAATATCATGAAAAAGTAGATTGATTTCAGTAATTCCATTTAAAAAGTGAAACTTGTATATTATATTCATACATTACATACAAACTCATATATTTCAGATGTTTATTTTGTTTAATTTTGATGATTACAAATGACAACAAATGAAAATCTCAAATTCATCATATCAGAAAATTAGAATATTGTGAAAAGGTTCAAAATTGATGGCCCCTGGTGCCACACTCTAATCAGCTAATTAACTCAAACCACCTGCAAAAGCCTTTAAATGGTCTTTCAGTCTAGTTCTATAGGCTACACAATCATGGGGAAGACTGCTGACTTGACGGTTGTCCAAAAGACGACCATCGACACCTTGCACAAGGAGGGCAAGACACAAAAGGTCATCGCTAAAGAGGCTGGCTGTTCACAGAGCTCAGTGTCCAAGCACATTAATAGAGAGGCGAAGGGAAGGAAAAGATGTGGTCGAAAAAAGTGTACAAGCAAGAGAGATAACCGCACCCTGGAGAGGATTGTGAAACAAAACCCCTTCAAAAATGTGGGGGAGATTCACAAAGAGTGGACTGCAGCTGGAGTGAGTGCTTCAAGAACCACCACACACAGACGTATGAAAGACATGGGTTTCTGCTGTCGCATTCCTTGTGTCAAGCCACTCTTGAACCACAGACGGCGTCAGAAGCGTCTAAAGAGAAACAGGACTGGACTGCTGGTGAGTGGTCCAAAGTCATGTTCTCTGATGAAAGTAAATTTTGCATTTCCTTTGGAAATCAAGGTCCCAGAGTCTGGAGGAAAAGAAGAGAGGCACTTCATCCACGTTGCTTGAAGTCCAGTGTAAAGTTTCCACAGTCAGTGATGGTTTGGGGTGCCATGTCATCTGCTGGTGTTGGTCCATTGTGTTTTCTGAGGTCCAGGGTCAACGCAGCCACATACCAGGAAGTTTTAGAGCACTTCATGCTTCCTGCAGCTGACCAACTTTTTGGAGATGCAGATTTCATTTTCCAACAGGACTTGGCACCTGCACACAGTGCCAAAGCTACCAGTACCTGGTTGAAGGACCATGGTATCCCTGTTCTTAATTGGCCAGCAAACTCTCCTGACCTTAACCCCATAGAAAATCTATGGGGTATTGTGAAGAAGAAGATGCAATACACCAGACCCAACAATTCAGAAGAGCTAAAAGCCACTATTAGAGCAACCTGGGCTATCATAACACCTGAGCAGTGCCACAGACTGATCGACTCCATGCCACGCCGCATTGCTGCAGTAATACAGGCCAAAGGAGGCCCAACTAAATACTGAGTGCTGTACATGCTCATACTTTTCATGTTCATACTTTTCAGTTGGCCAACATTTCTATAAATCCTTTGTTTTTATTGGTCTTCAGTAATATTCTAATTTTCTGATATGATGAATTTGAGATTTTCATTTGTTGTCATTTGTAATCATCAAAATTAAACAAAATAAACATCTGAAATATATGAGTTTGTATGTAATGTATGAATATAATATACAAGTTTCACTTTTTAAATGGAATTACTGAAATCAATCTACTTTTTCATGATATTCTAATTTTATGACCAGCACCTGTATGTGTTTGTGTGCTAGGATTCAGGAGCGTCATGCTGTATTCAGGAACGAACAGCGGAGGGTAACGCTGACTCCACTGACGGGGTCAAAAGTTATCATCAATGGAAACTCTGTGTACGAGGCGACTGAGCTGCAACACTTGGTTTGCATTTGTTCACATTTATTATTCATCTGTGGTGGATATTAGATATAACGATATAAGAAACTTTCTACAAAATGGATCAAATCTGAAAGGTTGACATTATTCCCAATCATTTCTTTTAGGACCGTCTCATTCTGGGTTCTAACTCTACTTACCTGTTCATCGGTTATCCTTCTGAGAGGGGTGGGGAGGACTGGAGTCGCTATGATTATGATTACTTCCAGTCAGAGCTGGCTGCTGCAGAAGGCATTCATCTGGGTAGGTAACAGGATCACTCTTTAGATTTAAATGTGTTGTTTTTCTATGTGGGACATTTTTGTTTTTTAATCTTTGTAAAGGTGAGTCACCCACTGGTTGTAGCCAGGCAGATCCCAGTCTGTTGGTGGTCTTCTATGACTACATTAAGCTGATGCCCATGGTGGCTGAGGCCAATCAGATGAGCCAGGAGCTGAGTAAGGTAACTTGTAGACCCCTGCTGTCACTCTTCACACTCCCATACATCAGTAATTGTTAATGGATTTCTCAATTTATAGGGGGTGGAATTTAAGCTTGAAATAAAAAATCTGGCCCTGTCGGACTCTAGAGGTCACGATCTGCAGAAAGATATTGTTGTCAGAGTGACCTCAGCAGGAAGCAAACAGGTAGCGTTTCCTCTCCGTTCTCTGAGTACACTGGTAAAAGTTTTTTTTTTTTTGGTTGCTGAAAGACATTTCTGAATGGTTTGACTTCTTATTCCGTAAAAGTTTTAAAAACAATCCACTGGACTTGCTTTCTCAATTCAAATGTCTGGATCCGCTGTGAGTTTGAGTCTTTATATAGACAAGGCCTTGTATTGCTTGAAAACATGCAAAAGGAAACCTATCGGTTTTGCAATACAAGGCCTTGTCTATATAAAGACTCAAACTCACTGCGGATCCACACATTTGAATTGAGAAAGCTTCCTGGAGAGGTAGCGAAACGTCTTCAAATCTTAGAAACCAAGTCCAGTGGATTGTTTTTTTTTTTTACTTTTACGGAATGACTATGAACTGGATGACAGAGAATCTTCATCAGCAATTTGACTTCTTATGTTTTGCAGGTCTGGATGTGGTCAAAAGCCAAGTTTGTTAACCGCAAGTTTCTAATGGAGGAGTTCTATCAGCAGTTCAAGGCTGCCCAGCATGAGGACGATGTGTGTTTGCAGATAACATTTACATGTTTCTCACAATACAGAGATGTTTCTTTTGACTTAAGCTTAAAACTGTGCATAGGCAACACATTTAATTGAAGGTGACAAATCAGGAGAGAAAATAATATTTATAAAAATATGTGCACAAGCATCTATTTCAATTTTTGAGCAGTTACTCAACTTTTACTGTGTTTGCTGGTGTTAGAGAGCAGAGGATCCTCCAGCGGTTGTGGTACCCAGAGATAAAGACCCATTTTGGGATCCAGTTGAGCCTGTACTTTTGGGAACTGCTCACCTCTGGCTTCAGTCTTTGGCCTTCCGCATTCCTCTGGAAGAGCAACTGGAGGTACTCACGTTTGCTTCATACAAATGTATAGAACCGTCTGTGTCATTGAATCCAACTGTGTTTGCAGGTGTTGGGCTCAGAGGGAACAGAGGAGGCCATTCTACAAGCTCAGCTCGTCCCCTGTACCTCCTCTGCACAGTATGACGCAAACATACTTTTACAATAGAGCACACAGGAAGGTGTTTCTAAGGAATGCTACTTTCCAGTCCGCTGGGAGAGGACGACATCCTGATTGACCCGTCTGAAATATTGGGACGACGGCTGGACTTTCAACTTGTCCTGGAGCAGTGCTGTGGGGTTCGCTGGATCAGGGAGGCCCGGAATCGTGGGATCCAAATTGGGTGAGGCTAAAGGAAATATGTAAAGCATCATGAGGACCCAGACATCTCTTAATTTCCTCCTCTGTGTTAGTTACAGGGTGTTTGATTGCAGCGAGCCACTCTACACTCCAGCTGTGTGGCATAACATCAACCCTCTGTTAGATCATAGGGTTCAATTCACCTCCCTCCAAACATCCCAACATCTGCTGGACTACCTGCAAAGCAGTGCTGTGGTGCTTGTGCTCTGGGGTCTACAAGGTAAGAAAGGAAAAGGATTGCAGCATTAAATGGGCCATAATGAAGTACCATGCACACTGTATGACACACAATTTCTTAAAGGGTTTTTGAAAAAGTTGTATTGAATAAAATTAATTGGCAGCTATACCACAAGATGGCTGCTAATAGGAGAATGGAAAGCTTCTTTAAATAACATTCACTTAAAAAAAATTATGGATAAAAATGTTTATGAATTTTTTTTTTTTTTATTGATCTATGCATTATCCTGTATATGAATTTATTATAAAAACTGCTATACTGCATTGTTTTCCTATGTTAGAGGGTTGTAATCCTTTGAATTCATCACTGGAAGCTGTGAGAATGACTACAGAGGGCTTCTTCATCCTCGACGTGTCGAGTCCACCAGAAGCTGCAGTAAGTTGGACATTAAATGATCTCATAAATGCTTTGGGGCAAAATGTTGATTTAGATTAGATTTTGTTTTTTCACTTTTTGTATGCTTGCAACAGCCAAAACATGCCTGTATGTTTCCATATTTCTTGTTTTAGCTCCTTTAAACACTTAATAATTTAGTTACACACTCAAATTCTTATATTGAGCGAAGACAAAATAAAATGAAAAAACTGAAAGTAGAAAAAAACTACCTGTATTTTCTCTGATAAATAATTGTCCCTTAACCTGTCCCATCTAACCTATCTAGATCTACCAACCTTTTTAGACAGGTTCATTTTATTTGATCCACATTGGAGTTTTTGAGTCCAGGCATTTTGGGGAACCTGGTGCCTTTTGGATCAATGTCCTTCTGCAAGACTTAAACCTTTTTAGCTTAAGAGAATACTTCCTCACGATTTTCCATTTTTTTCACTTCATTTTATTCACCCATTTTCTGACATTTGAATGTCATCTTGATGTTTTTCTTGAATGCCGTTTGTTTCACATCTGCTGCCAACTACCATGAAAAAAAAACATCTCTTCTAAATGATCATTAATTTGTTCCACCTCCGTTCCTAAATTACTTTAGATTGGGGCTTTTTTAGATTGTTAAGCCTCCTCCATGTTTACTTGAACATTATTTATACAATTTTAAAGTGGCAATAATCTGGCCTGACTGCTGGTTTACTTGTTGAATAATGGTTTCTGTGGCTCAGAAACTTGTAGCCTTAGTTTTATTTGAATGAAATTTAACCCAAACTTTTACAATTTTACACAAAGTACTACATTTGGTCGGATACATTTTTTTCCTTTGTGATATAAAATTGTCTGATTTGAAAAAAAATATAGGAATAATTGGGAAAGCGAAAACCGAGGCCTACAAATCCACTCTAATACTGCTTTTAATGCTGCAGCTATATGACTTTGCTGAGCTCAGCTGTTCAGTCAGAGCTCTTCAACAGGACGTGAATAAACTAAAGAGTCTTAATAAATCACTAAGGAAAGAAAATCAGAGTTTGAAAGAACAACTCAACACAGCCAGGAACGGTAAGTCAGAAATGCACAAGAAACACACTTTTTGTTGTTTACGATCTGCAGTGTTTCCTGTAGGCATACAGTGCATGTTTTCTTTCTCTGGTTTTAGGAGGAATGGAGAATGGACGTGGTCGCTCTCTGCGTCCCAGCTGTGATGCAGAATTTGCACGCGCCCTGAAAGTTTTCTACCACAGTATGACTTCTGTAAAGGGTCATCTGCAGCGCCTGCGCAGACACAGACCCAGTGTATGTACACGCATCTTTTAACTGAAATGCATGAATAAAACTGTTGGCGGTTGTTCAAACTATACGCTGTTTTGCAAAGGATGTAGGGATTGTCCTGCAATTGTTGGGTTCCTGGTTCGAACCTTAGCTCGATTCATCAATCACCTGGTCCTAAAGCAAGATACTTCCCCTCTTATTACCTACTGATGGTGGTCAGAGGCCCTGATGGCGTCAGTGTATGGAAGCCTCATTTCTGTTAGTGAGCCCCAGGGCAGCTTCACCATCAATGTGTGTGAATGACTGAATTTTGGGAGCTAAGCACAGACTTCAAAGGGCGCTTTACAAGTACAGCCCATTTATCACTTCAACTAATGTTGCATATTTTGCTCTTGTTGTCTACAGAGCATCTTGTTTTCATGTTTGCAATTAAATTGCCTTTTTTGTGCTGTGCTGTTCGGCTGTGTTAATTTTTTTATAACCTGATTTTGCATTTGCCCTTTAGGAGGAGTCAGACCTGCTTGGACTCAGGCTGTTTATGGACGAGCAGTGTCGTCTGCTGAGAGACTTCTCAGAGCTGCTGGAGGAGAGTGTCTCTAAGCTCAAACAAGACGTTGCCGCCATTGTACGTCGCAAAAGAGAACGTTCAGGCATTTGGTCCTAGCTTTGCTTTCTGTTGATTTAAAATGATATTCAAACTGTAAGTACCAGTTATCTTTACCTCCCAGCACAATTGAGGTTCCTAATCAAAGTATTGTTGTTCAGTCACATGCAGATATGATTCTAAAAGTGTTGAGATGTCAATCACGACACAGAAAATATTCAAGTCTTAAATGTTTATTAGACTGCATGAAAAAGAAGCTTTATCAGTACAGCTGCAAATAAATTAAGTATTAAAAATCACAATGAACATTTTTACCCTCAGAGTTTTAAGCCATTTTAGTTCTGAGCTTTTTTCCCCTCATGCTTCACTGTTAGTGGTTTATAAAGACAGACCAGTGTGAATGTTTTTTTTTCTCCCCCCGAATAAAAATGTCCCATGTTGAGAGGAAAGCACTCTGGTTATGCATGTAGCCTGTTATGATAAAGTACAGACAATTGCTGTAGGTCCAAAAAATGTAAATAGGAGCAGAAACGGAAGGCAGATCAGTCATCATACAGGAAATCTATGTACAAAGTAGATGAAGGCAGATCAGCAGACTGGGCCCATTTGTTGAACAGCAATCTCAGAATTTGCTCAGTCTTGATTCTTATGTTTTTAATTGCTGCTAGTGATAGAAACGGAGTACACAAAGACGATCAGAGGCAGATGTACGTTTAGGTGTTTGAACTAAAGAGGTAGACTTAAACCACAAAGCGAGCGGTCACAATTTACTGTGTCTGAGCACTTCTTCTCTTAGGAGAAAGCACCCAATGATGTGAATATAGAACAAGAGAAGGCTGAAGGTAAAGGTGAGGTAGGTTAAAGGTCAAAGGATAAGGAGTTAAACTGTAAAACCAATATTTACAGGTTCTTTGTTAGATTTACAAGCAGAAAATAAAATGTCAGAGCCAGTAAAATGTAATGAATGTTCCTCTGCCAATTATCTACACCCATTGAGGCAGGCCTGAAGGCAAACATGTACAGGGTTGAATATTACAACACTCCTAAAGATCTAGTCATATACCTGTCAGTCTTGTACTCAGCATGGTTTTTTTTTCTAAATTAAATAAACTATTTTTAAGACGAGTGAAGGCTTTTTTTTTTAGGTAGATTTCAGTCCGATCCTTTTAAGGTCCGCAATTTTTCACATTCATTTAAAATAAATTCACTGAATTTATGGTAGGTATTTTAGAGTTAAATGATTGAAGCATAAGCAGCACATCACCAGTTTGCACTGGTACTTCTACATTTTCTCCTGCTTGTCTAAATGGTTTAAAAAAAAAAAACTCATTGGCAGTCAGAAATGTCTCTAAGGAATTCATCTGGTTACCACCAGTGATAGTTTGAGAACCCATCTTTTTTCTGGGTCGTCCAAGTCCTTTTTTGTTAAACTGTCCAGCTAGTTTCAGATGCATCCTCTATCAAAACAACTGAATTTCCTAATTGGCATTCAGCTTTACAGAGGTTTGTTAATGAGCCATTCATTTGGTGCAGCTCTAGTGGAGAATGGATTCATCTAGAAGCCGCAGGTTAGCAGCTCTCAATGACTGGACTTGGACTCCCCCTGGTTTAAATAGATCTTATTTCCAACATCTGTTATAATTCAAATCCCATGAAAGTTGTGCACAGACATTAGCTCACTTTTTGATAATTTCAAGGAAAACATTTTCAGTCCATGTGTCCCTCTACACATGGAGTGTTGATGGTATAACAAAATATATTAAAGAAAGAAGAGGTCCATGTTTATCTAAGAAGCCACACAGATGAGAATAGCTGAAGTCCAAGATAGTAGACAGAGTTTCAGATTGTTACAAATTTCACATCAGTCCTATGGGATTAGGATTCTGACAGTGCAATGGCCTTTCTCCTGACTACATTAACCCAGTTCCTAGTCTCTGTTCAGTGCAAGTTCTCGTCTTCCACAATTTTCCCTGAACACCTAAAATGATAACGGGTCTAAAGGTCGTGGATTAGTTCTAGTGAAACTGAAGTCATCCCATATCACCCCTCTGCGCTTTGAGCCCAAATACCATGAATGGGGAGGTTAATCCTTTCAGTATTCCTCTGTTGAAGGACCCTTCAGGCATTGGTTCCATCCTTCTCAGCAGCTTGGCCATCACTACCCATGGTTCCATGGGTGATGAGGGTCGGCGAAGCCTCTGATATATCCCTCTGGCTGCTGTGCCTCGAGTAGCTGTCTATCTTATGCAGGCTGCTGTGAGTGGAGAGTGGATGGTTGAGCCGGGGCATGCTGCCATGGAGATTGCGGTCCGGTGTGCCACGGTGAGCTAAAGAATCACTCCTAAGAGATGCAGAGATTCACAGGAGTGAGGACAGAAGCAAGGTGCTGAGGGAGTGATGCGGTAGCATCGAATTTTCTGATCTACCTGTCATCTCGAGTGCGGCGCAGGCTGCCGTGGTAGCTGGCCTTGCTGTGAACACTGCTGGGCTTGCTTCTGGTTGATGTGGGGTGTCCATGGTGAGTCCTAATGGGTTCATCCAGATCTTCTAAAGCTGCCAAGTGGGTGGAGGATGCATGGGTGGAGGTGCCCTGCAGAAAATTTCATACATTGTCTAAAATAAACAAGCATGATCGAAATTACATTTAAATCAGTACATCTTTAAACTCCGCTGATTTCAGTTAACGGCAATGAAATTTACAATTATTAGCATTTTCTCGTGAAGCGCTCCTTTACTATCTAGACATGTAAGCCAAATATTATCTTTTAACCCTTGACGTGAAGCATAATAGATTTTACAGAAGACGTGGAGATGTTTGTAACATGTCTGACCTCTAAGAAAGCTTCTGATGTGGTCCCTAAATATTGGGGAAGCCTGTTAAAAAAAAACATGATATACTAACTTCTAAATTAGGGATTGCATTTGAATCAATGAGTCGATGCAATCAACTGGTTTTCCTTAGATAAAAAACTTTGAATCGATTTGACTGTATGATCTGGTTGAACTGTAAAGTGCTTTGAGATGACCTGTGTTGTGAATTGGCTCTATATAAATAAACTGAATTGAATTAAATCCTCAGTCTCCTGTTTGTCTGAATATCTGAAAAAATCCAACGTAGATTTGTTAATGTGTGTCCTGAAGTCTGTGACCATACTGTGTTTAACAGTTTCAGCTTCTTCCTGCAGCCTGACAGAGACTCCAGACTACAGTCCTACCTGAGTAGAGGTCCCTCTTGACTTCCTTATGATGGGGGTGTTTGGTTCCCGCAGTAGAGACTGAGCAAAGTCTGGCTGCTCCTGCAGAACCTGACGGGACTCATTCACCCCACTGCTGCAGAGAGACCAGACAGGAGGATGTGTTTATTTCTATTAATCCTTAGGACCTTAGAAATGTGTGGAGGATAGAAATAAAAAACGGATAGTGAAGTTAGATGTATGGGAATAAACACAGAGAACATTTCTCCAGGTTTAAAAGAGTATTTTTATGTAAGAATCTAATCAATATAATAGTTTTTCTATATCCTAATAATGTACTGTGACCATCAAATCCTATAAGAGTAAAGCCTCCACTCCTATCCACTGATAAACGCTCCTATTTTAACAAACATCTCATTTCATCCATTTTCTAAATTTAACCCAAATTCTGCTGAATAGAAAAAAAAATGTTTTTACTAAACAATTTTACATATTTGTAGCACATGTCTTCAAAAGCTGCATTTGGGTGATAATATGGAGAATTATAAACGTGAACCTTCAGACTGCTTACTCTTTGCGCCTGCGTCCATGCAGGAAGTTCGCCCATTCAAAGCATGTCTTTTTACTGCCGACCCAGAAAACCGAGGGAATCCCAACTACCAACATCATCAAGTATTTGATGAGAAACAGAACCATAGCTGGTTTGCTGGTCTCCTCAACCTGCAGGGGTGAAAATATTAAACCATTAGCTCCTCAATGAGACCGTCAGCTTTGTAGAGACAGGGGTGTTCAATCATAAAGCATTTGTCAAGTTGATTATTTTCTCAAGGTTTCTCAAGACCTGGGAACCTGAATACCACTGAAACAAGAGACCAAGATGACCAAAGTATTAAGCCCTGACATTTGTTTTGATCCTAGTCAGTCATTCAGGATGATTGAAGACGAGCGCAAATCCAAGTAAAACCCCACCTGCTCCAACAGCTGAACTTCAAACTGCTTTAACAGCAGCTTCTTTTATCTTTACAGAATGAGAATTTAGCCACAGCTCCCTGTAGAGGGCAGGAGTTTATTAGATCCAACCTTCTGCTTTGCAGATCTATTTATTACATAGAAATTCCAGAAAATAATTTGAACTTCCTTTTTTTTTCTCTCACTTCACTGAAACATCTGGATATCGTGATAGCTTTTCTCAACAGATTTTAATTTAACTTTTACTCAATTGTTAGGAGCTAAAAATCAAAACATTGTATAGAGCAAATGTGATTTTTAGACCTATTTGTTTTTAAATGGTGAGCTGTTGAGATCTTTAACATTTCATGATGCTTTTCCCTTCATGATATACATAAACTCCTAAAGAGAGGATGTCTTCAGGCAGCACCAGATATTTCTTGCTTACTGGAACTAGAGCAACTGAAAAATATTCATTGGAACATTTTGTTATTAAAATATATCTCAGATTGCTTAGAGTATAGAAGAAAGCACAAGCTGTTGCTATCAAATAAGCAAGAAACAGAAACATGATAGATTGGCTTTAAAATAAGATTATCTGAGCAAGATTTAAAACGGCAAAAGTGAAGAACGTCCCCATCTTTATCCTTCCTTCAAAATGAGAACTAAAAAAACACGTATTGTTTTAAGAGGTTTGCAACAGAACGGACGACAAATCTAATTCAGGTACTTTAATAGAGATGGATCCACCTGAAAATCAAGGAATTACAAGATTGTTCAAATTTTTGCATGGAAGCGTGTAAACTTTTTAAACATTTGAACTGAACTCAAAATGTGTCAACATCCGATTTCCTTTGAGGGATTTCTATACTAAAAATAGATTATTCCTGCATTTATGGAGTTAAAAAATCAATTCAGCCTTCAGTATTTAACCAGCTGACCACCAATACCAGCTGATCAAAGCAAAATGACAGAATTTATCTGGCTGACTGATTAGTGCATTTCCTAATTCAAACAAAGACTGCTCTTTGTTCACATTGTTGACTTTGGAAAATAAACCTGGAAATGAGCCAAAAGTAAATCCTACAGTTTAGAGTTATGTAACAAAGAAAATGTAATCACAAGAGGAGCTGGTGCATTAAAGACCTCTGGCCTCATTATCTCAACACACAAAAAGAAACTCAGGATATTTTCTATTTTAAAACCTAAAATAAAAAAAGAGCTTTGGAGCTTTGTTTTAATATGCTTAAAAAAATTATATATATATATATTATAGATAGTAATATTAATATCTATAAACTGTTCAGGTATGTTGTCTTCAATAAAACATAATATCAAATTTTTCAAAGGCAAAACAATTCGGTCCATCAATAAATCTTTGCACATGTGAGCTACTTTAGGGGAAGGTTGAATGACACCCAGATATGAGGGAATAGCACAGCTAAAACAGCAAGAAGCATGAGGTCACAAACTCACTAGTAAGATAAGCATTTGCACCTGCCTCCATGTGCTCATGTGGCTCATCATTTGGAGGCCAACACTTGTGTAATGTAATTTAAAATGTGCACAATTTGGGGGGTGGGGGGGGGCATTTTTCTGGTCAATAATTTAGCAGCAGACAGTATAAAAACACTGCCCTCCTACTGCTCTTCATAAGCGCTACAAAGCCCTCATAGACAACAGCCAGCAGAGCATGACTGAGAAAGTCTGAAAGAAAGAGACACCAGCTGAGAAGGGAGGAGAAGGGAAGAAGGAGGAGACCTGAAAATGGGAAAAACAACTGAAAGGGTGTAAGACAAGGAGACAAAGAAGGCTGGAGGAAAACAAAGATTGTAGTTTTTGGGGAGAGTCGGTCTAGAGAGCTGAATTAGGTGAGCTAATGATGCGTACAGCACTCCTGACTCCTCCGCAAATATCTCCTCACTCAGCCGCACACACTCTCACCTACCAGGGTCTGTTAATCACAGCAGCGCCCACACAGACCTCTGACTCAATGAATAGCTTAGAATAGCACAATTCACTTTTGAGTCTAAATTGGGGATAACAACACTGTAATGGTTTTGAAAAAAAATAAAAGATAAAAAAATATCTGCATGGGCAGGTGGAAGATAAAACATCTTGGTTTTCACATAGAGATTTAAAATAAAATACAATAATGCTCTCCCTAACATGGTTATTTTGATTTCAGCATGAAATCTAGCATAAAAAACATCTAAATTCAATAATAGGTGTTTAAATGCCTCTTTAACCGATCGCAGTACTCCTGTCTTTTTCTCCATCTGGAAATATTTCCAAATAAGTAAATTTTTATTTAAAACTAAGGCTAAATGTTTCTAAGCCACAGAAACTGTAGAAACCATAATTCAACAAGTAAACCAGCAGTCACAGCTACAGGTAAAGAAGATTAATCAGTTAACACACAACATAATAAAACTTTAAAATAATTTGACACCTGTAGCCTGATGTTAGGCTTTATTAGGGGACATAGCATTTTGAGACTTTTGCTGAATATTATAACTGTATCTGGACCTTTTTTTAGTATCAAATGTTCATCTAACACAATAGACAAAGTATTATCATGTCTTTTTGTATGACTAGTATTTCAGACATATCCTACATATTGCATGTAGAGTTCTTTGCAGCGGCAATACTATAAACACCGCTAATGAAATGACAAATGCTGTGCAATAAATGGTGTTGCACAAGTTTTCAGAATTTTATTAAAGGGCATTTCTTTTTGAAACATTGGGATTTTATTTTCTGCTGCATTTTTCCCCTTTAGCAAAATGGGACTTTTGCAGCCTTGTTTTTAGATTCCATCTTTAAAACTGGTGGATGTGCTGACTTCCCTGTGCATCCCTCAGGGTCATAACAGCAGTTCATATATCCCATATTTGTGTTTTGTCACAAATTCATAGAGGAACTTTTTTTTATTCAGTATTAAACTGCGACGACTGACAGTTGCTATAATCTCTGGTTTTAACAGGATGATGAAGAAGCATATGTATTGCATAAATATCTAAGATTTTAAAGTTCATTATACAAATATTTTGCTTTAAAATTAAGGAGAATTAACACAAGAGGTCCAGAATATCAGATAGAATATCAGATATTAGATACCAGCGTATCTAACTTTGCAAAGATCTCAAAAATGTTTTTTTCTAAATACCAGTCTTTACACACAACTAATAGCACGTGTGCATTTTGGGCATCTTGTTTTAAGACCAAATAATCTGCGTCTGTTGTGGTAGTCAGGTTATCTGGCATCTCTTTAGTTTGTAATTGTAAATTACAATGATTTTCCTTTTTGTCAATTTCAGTTTTTGTCTTTTGTTGGTTTATGAAAGTTACTGAATCGTAATTTCCAATGACTGCCAAATCTAGTTCATTCCTCTTACAATCTTTATTAAAAAATACTGGTTCATTTTGGCATTGATTCTAGTTGAACTTTAATTCCTGAATAAAAAGAACAAAACTAAAAGGAGATCCCCTAATCTTACAAACTTACAAATTTGAACAAAGATTACTGCCTCTAAAGGCAGGAATTATCCATTAGACTGAATTTTGGACCTTAATATTTCACATAAAGTTAATTGAAAACGCCTTTTTAGTTTTTGCTTTTTTGTACCACTTGACTGTTTTTAGATCAACAAAGACATTTAATGATAGATTAAGTTAATCAAAGTAAATACAATAATTCCTTATTCATAAAAAAAAGAAGAAACACCAATCATCCCCTACAGGGAAACTAAATGCCCTCTTTTTGAAATCACAAATAAATTTAATACATTTTTTTTAGAAAGCCAGGCATTTTCATAGCCAAACCCACACTAGATTACAAAAAACAACATGTAATGGTTAAAAAAAGAATTGGCTTCCATCAGTCTTGAATTATTTATCAAGCAATTTCGGAGACTTTGAGACTAAAACGAAATACACTTAAGTTAGAAAAAGATGAGTTTCTCATTGCAGTGTTGAGCAATCACATTGTTTCTTTACCTTATATGGGCAAGGGATGTGATACCTCCTGCAGTTCTCATCCATCCACGTCGTTTCCCAAATGCTGCGATACGTGTGTTCATAGATGTAGCACCCAATCACTGTGAATAAAGGGGCAAGATAGAGAACAGAGAACACACCCATTCGAATCATGAACTTGACTAGTTTGGCCTGGTTTTCTTTCTCCAATGGAATCTCCATCCGCACCCGATTCAGAGCAACAATTCCCACTAAAAGCAGGGAGACGCCAACCTGAGGAAATAATGAAGTAAGAGAAGAAGGCACTCAGACAGATATTGCACGGTTAAAATGAGCTATTAGTTCTGAAAGAGTACTTTTAGATGTCCACATTTCTAAGATATCATTCACCACTTTATCTCTTCCTCCATCCATCATTTATCCTCTCCCACTCATTCCTTTCACCATTTATCTTCTAACTGTACTCACCGCCACATTGAAGCAGAGCGGTGCCAGAACAAACCACCTCAGGGCATCGATGTCATACAGCCCTATGAAACACACTCCGCTGATCCCATCTCCCTCTATCTTATTCAAGGCCAACAGGGAGACAGTCAAGGCTCCAGGGAGGCCCCAGGCCACAGCGTGGAAGAGGAGGGCTTTCTTCTCAATGGCCTCGCTGCCCCATTTAGGCACAGCAGCCAGGAACCAAGTGATTGTCAGTATGACCCACCACACGCTGCCGGCCATGGTGAAGAAGTACAGGATCATGAAGAAAAGTGTGCATACCTGAGAGGGGGAAAAAAAAGTTCTGTTTTTATATGATGTGGAAGGAAGCTGATGTCTGATAGGATGAAAAGGAAAATATTTAAATGGTTAATCATTTAAAATCTGACCTTGTTGTGAGAGCCCTGTGTGATGGTTGAAGCTCTAAACTGGGCCGGGCTCACTGCATTGCACGCTACTCTGTCCTCTAGGAGGAAACCCAGGAAAAAGACCAGCGACACCATGACGTAACACACAGCGTAGAAGATGATTGGCCGTTCAGGGTATCGGAACCTGTTGACAGACAAGGAGATTCATTTTTCTTAATCATTTTGGTTATATTTCACAACTTTAGATCTGCATATATGAGATCAACTTTCATTTTGATTTAAGTAAAATGTTAGGTAGAGAAAATATACCTTGTAACATCAATGAGAAATGTCAGGAAAGTGAAGAGCGTTGCAGAGAGACAAACAATAGAGACCACTCCAATGAAGTATCGGATGAAGGTCAGCTCCTGCTGGTTGAAGAACATGGATGGGCAGGGAGCTGAACAGTCCTTCCTTCCCATGAAGGTGTAGCCCAGGTCGGGGTCGATTTTGAGCTCTCGGGGACACCAGAAACCATAATCTCTTTGGACCGTCATGGATGACTGATCGGTGGGTTCTGAGCCTGTCAGCAGGTCCTCTGCGCGAGGGTAAGGCTCATTGCATTCTGGAAACCTGGATAATCAAACACTTTGTCAGATCATAAAACTTGATCTGCCACAATCATCTCAGAGATTTAAATTTTCATGCAGGCAATTCAATTAAGTTCAGTTTATTTATATAGTGCCAATTCACAAACATGTAATCTCAAGGCAACCAGATAATACAGTCAGATTGGTTCAAAGTGTTCTAAGGAAAACCAGCTGATTGCTTCGAGTCATCGACTCGAAGACAATCCCTCACACCAAGCATGCATGTAGATACAGTGGAGAGAAATAACTCCCTTTTAACAGGAAGAAACCTCCAGGAGAACCAGTCTAAGTGTGAGCACGAATCTGCTGAGGCTGACTGCCTTTCTTTAACCTGTTTAAATCTGGGTATTCACTTTCCTTCCATCATAAGATGAGGTGATTCATACCCCTCCTATGAATAAAAATTCACCATAACTTTCTGTTAATGTTCTACAACACCATTGAGGGAGATGGAAAATAGGAGCCCTTTCAGTCTAAAAGTTAATCACAAATATAGACTTTAAAATACTTCTGTTAGTCTATAATTCATTGAAGGTTTAGCACTAGAATACATTACTGAATAGGGGTGTGCAATTATGTCTGACAAATGTATCATGATAGAAGACTTTCATATCAGTCAATATAATTTATTATTAATTGGGATTTTGTTTACCTTTTCGATATAAGTAACAGGAGTAGAAGCCTGAGTTTAAACTATAACCCTATTTAAACATGACCTTTAACCTCAAAAACCGGTCAGCCCTACTACCAACCCTGCTTAGTTTGGTCATAAGAGGTCGAGAAGCTAAATTATTTTCTCCCTTACATCCCCCATAATATAGTTTTTTTTAATAATAGTTCAGTGGAACTATTGAACATGTTAGGTGACGTATTTTCTATTGATAATGTTTGGGTGTCTTTCGTGATACATCGGTATCGATTTATTGCTCAGCCCTATTACAGACTTGTTGTTAGTGAATCAAGTTTGGCCCTTAAATGTTCAACTAATCTGGAACCACACCAGAAAACTGTAAAAGTATGACACCCTTAGTTGCTTTAAATCGAGATTTTAAAAAATTTTCTTTAACTGTTATATAAACATTAATAGTTTTTAGTTTTTATTCCAACTTCGTATTTTATAATTCCATAACTTAGTTATGGAATTATAACTTTAATCATTCATATTTATTACTTTAGTACCTTTATGCCACTGCAATTCCTTTTTCACTTTTGCTTTCCTATATTGTTTCTTGTTTTATGTGCAGCATTATGAATTGTCCTAATAGAGAAATGTTCTGCTGCTCAGTCATTTTTCGTATGGTTTATAGCTTTAATTTGAATCCTCCCCCATTCTTTAGAAGAGTATGAATTATTTAATTTATTTATTTTACATCTAATTTTTCAAAGATTATTTTTTTTAATCAAAAATAATATATGCACACTTGCTGAATGGCTTTAAAAAAACACTACCGGTTCTCATGGTGACACAGTTGTTTGAATAAACTAGAGGGCTGACACTTGTCCGCAAGCATCAAGAGAAAAAACGTTAGAAGTCCAAATGCTGACTTTTTTTCCCTCCTAATTATTCTTTTTCAACAAGCTGCCATAAATATATGCCAGCAAAGATTAATAATTATTAAATAGGATGCCAGTTTCTCACCCAAGGCTTTCAGATATTTATCCTTTCTCCTAGAAACTCGATCAATCACTTCGTAAACATTGTAAAGTTGTATGAACTTTAGCATCACAACACTATCAGCATTCTCAAATATCATCAGCATCTCTAACGTTACATTTTCCATTTATTGTTATTTCCCTAAATGTGAAATCAGTTAATATGAAAAGAATCTACAAAAATCTGATTCTAAGAGCTTGAGAATTAGACACCTGTCCTCTCATTAAGACAGTAATAACTTTTTTTTTTTTTACCTTGGACCTTATAATCAACACAAAGTGAAAGTTGGCTTTAAAAAAACAAGATATTAAGAAATAGAAACTAAGACTTTCACTTGATCTGTCCTGTACTCTCCAACTATGAGCAGGAATAAAATTAAGGACATTGTAAATATCATATGAATGACAAATTTACAACTTAAATCTGAAAATAACTGTGCAGAGGAAGTTATTAATGTATGTTCTACACAAAAAGTGTTTGAAATATAAATATTGTTTTTTTTTCCAGCCATGTCATACAGATCCAGTTTGTCTTAATTCGATTTGAGTGTCGTCAAGCATTTCCGTTACTGTGAAAGAAATGCTTGTCTTTATAAACATGAGCAAACGAACCAAATTATATGGGACATGTTGATTTAGGCTTTGATTTATTTCACTAGTACCCTGTCCTTTTTGTTCACCAAGCAGCCAGTGACACTAACTTTGACCTCTTTTACAGTCATGCCCAGCTCCTGCTCAACAGGTTAAATTAAATAAGCCCCAACATTTAAAGAGAATCTAGATGAAACTTCAGTGCAAACTGGAAAGATGAGAGAAGCATTAATTTAGTGATGCAGCTTCAGGCAATCCTTATTAAAAGTAGGAACAAAGATCTGCTTTGTGTTGATTTGTGATTTTCTCCTTAGTGATGTCTCATTCACTTCCTGTACTTTCCATTTTGATTCTGTGTGGTCATAAACAATAAAACCAACTAATAATCTAATAGAGAGGCTGAAAAGCTCTCATTGCCGCACAGGAAAAGTTGCCCACCAGGAGCAAAGTTAGAAAGCACAGATGAACTGTAGGTCTGAGATAGCTATAGAAATGTAACCAGTTTAAAACAGTAGATACTGTTTTACATTCTTACCTGCTGCACTCCATATCCTCTGGCCAAGCTACTCCGAATATATCCATGAGTTTATGACACTCGTCCTTGGCCCGCTGGCAGATAGCTCGACATGGCATGGACAACCGGCCATACTCTGTGCACACTGGAGCATATAGGGCACACAGGAACATCCTCAGGTCGGCACTGCACACCAAGTTTACCATTGGATGAAAAGGCTTTGGAACCAAAAGAACAAAAAATAAAAGGTTTAGTATAAGCCAACGGAAATTACTTTTATGAAACAAACTACTAAGTACACATTTTTAAGCCTAATCTCAAAAGCATTTTCAGATTTTAGTTTTTACAGGTATATCCTTAGTTAAGAAGGGACAATTTTCAATGCTCTCTATCTCTCACACACCTTTATAACAACAGTGTACTTTGGAAATTTTATTTCATGTTCATGTCTGATCTACAAAAGCCATAGAAACAGACTGAGAAGAAACCCGAGCATAAAAGCTCTACTTTTACTGCAGAGCATCACATCACCACTTTATATGACATGAATCATTTTATATTTACAAAATCTTGATTTATTAACTGTCAAATAAATAAACAGGTGCTGGACTAATCTGTTATTTTGCTGGAATCCTATTGAGAGATTTTAATTTTAAATCAAGGCAAAGTATCAATAAAAGAAACATCAGATGTCTGAATGCTAAAGTTAAAAGATTCTACCTCTTAGATTTTTTTTACCTCTTGGATCACTTGGTCCTAGAATAAATAAGATGAAAATCACACTGAAAAGTCTGCTTAAATATAAAAAAAATTAAGGTTTCAATCCCCGGTCTTAAAATCAGCAGTTATAGTTTGGAAACTGCTGGAACTAAATCCAGCAGCCCTTTTTTATGATGGCATAACTCTTAGCATGTCTGCAGACTGGCTGCCGCATCTAGAATCAGCTTGTTATAGGCGTGTTCTTCTCAGCTGTTCAGCAAATAAAAAAATAAAAAAAGATTTTATACAAAAATAATTTTTTTTTTAAAGCTGCAGTCAATTTTTGTCGTTATGTATTTGCTTAATTGTGTATCTTGATTACCAACATAAGAAATATAACTGCAGCAAATTAAGTAAAAAATTGATGCTCTAATGTTTCAGATTATATCATATATTTCTCCGTGATAATCTCACACCAACCTGTGCCTATCCACTCATCACTAAAGAGTGTAGATGTAAAATGAACATGCAACAAAGAGCTGCACTTGTACCAAATTTTGACCACAATCAGTTGTATGCACTTATAGACAAATCCTCACGCATCACTTGGTTTGTATGTGTGTTTTATATGTGCACCACTGTGAAGTGAGGGGTTGTAAGGATATTTTGATCGTTCCTCAATTGCTGTGTTCTATATCCACAGATGGGAGAGAAGCTATACCAGTAAATGGGTGCAGTGATGCATGAGCTGTGACATAGTTTTCAGGATTGCATGGAAACAAGTAATGGCGTGCACAGAATCCCCGTCTTCTGTCAATAATTCAAGTAGTTTACAACGCATTTAAAATCATTTCAATAATCCAGGCCAGTTTATTTATATTTGGTTGTTTCCCTCCTTTGGTTTGACATTTGCTGTGAATTAATTCTAAGTATAAAATGGTTAACTAAGGTCCAGACTAAACACTGCGACATCAGCATTTGAGCTCTTTTTTGTCTTGTTCTTATAAAACATAAGAACTTGGGATTTAAATAACTCGCTCCACTTCTCGTCTTAATCACTGATCTGTGACAAAACAGCGACAATTGAAAGTTAAAAAGCAGAAATGACACTAGAGGTCAATCCTGCAAAGACCATTCCCTATACACACACAAGGTAATGACCTCCCTCCCATTTCAAATAGCTCCCCTGTGAGTTTATCATTTTAAAGTACAGAGGCTTTTTAAAAGCCACCATAATCAAACTACACATGAAAACTGTTTCACGTCCTGATTCTGCTCGTGTCTTCCGTGCATGTTTCCCGTATTTAGAGTGTGTCCCAGTTAAGTGTTTTTCATTGTGCGTGATGCAGGAAGGTTTGCGTGTCTGGAGTAGAAATCACATGTGGGCCGCTAGCTGTATGCAATTATTCTGACAGTCAGGGCAATTGCCCCCCCATCTCTCACTACAAAGAGAATACTGATACAAAGTGGCCTCACTGTGCTACAGAACGAGAGGGGAAGAGGTTGCCAATCAGCTATCTATGAAGAATAAGTCAAGTAAATTGCCTGACATTAAGTATGTCAGTTGTGATGGACAAGTGCTAAAAAGGAAAAAAGCCTCCAAGCTCTACCTAAGGGCAAAAGCAGGCTCTGACAAACATAAAAATCATGGCAGAGTATGATGGGGGATGGGTAGGAGAAGATATAAACTAAAACAGAAAACACGGTAAAATACCTTCCCCTTCAAGGATCTCTCCATCTGCTTTTTTATTTCTCCTTAGTCTTCACAAGAACCACCAAGGAGTCATTCTGAGCACTTAACTATTTCTAAAACTGGTCATATTTAATGATATCCTTCATTTACTTTCCTTATTTTTCTTTAATCACAGAAAATTTGTAACATAAAATGTCAGTAAGCATCTTTGCCATTTTGATTTGATCACTGATTGATACAGCAAAATATATATTTTGTACTGCACTTGCCTGATTAAATTAAATATATTTTCACCCTTTCCTTCCTTAATATCTATCCAGTAGAAAAATACAAGGGGACATATTTGACTTTGACAGATTCTGAGAATGAACACAAGTTTTGGCAACAGCCAAGAAATTTGTTACAATTTGAATAAGGTCTGTGTTTAATATAAGATTAAAGCAACATTTGGATTACACCAACATTATGCCATCTTCAACCCAACTGTTTAATCAATGAACTCCACAGGCAAATCCAACCCAGGCTCTATTCTCCACTGAAACAGTCCCTAAATGCAGCCGCACGCATCTTTTCCTTTCTATCTACTTTACTATATGCGCTGCTGAAACTTTTTAACATTACAGTCTAAAATTTCACAAACTCCTTGAAACAAAGACCATACCTCCAAAGCTTTTCACTATTAGGAGATCTACACTGGTCGATTGTGGCAGAAACACTGGTCCAAAAATGCTTTAAAGAAAATTACGATTTCATGGGTTTAATCAATGAGATTCTAGAAGTTTGTTTCTATGTCATGACCTCAAAATCCATTCAAATCTACGCTTTTCTTTGTATCTGGTAACAACACAAAGCAAATGATAATATATAAAGAGACATTTAGAAGTAAGAAAAATTGGCTTTTTATTCAAGAAAGCTAATCAAATTGAATAAAACTAAAAAGAAGCATCATTCTTTAAAAAAAAAAGTTGAGCAGAGAGGAGAAAGCCCCTCTGACTGGTCTGCCTATGCCTCAAAAGAAGGATTAACTTCCTTTTACTTTACTCCCACTCTCCACAGGGGAGGGGGAGGGAATAAAAAAAAAGAAAAAGAAAAAAATGTAAACAATAAAAAAGGACTATGTCTGCTAATTAACAGTTGCATAATGTAAGCAGTTATACTTCAGGCAATCCCAATTATTATAATGTTGGAATCACAAACTGACACTGTGTGTGTTTAACAATAAATAATGTATGAGAAAGGTTTTGCACGAGACTGCTACAACTTCAGGTTGACCAACCCCCCGATAAAAAAGGCTTAATTATTTGGTTGTGATGTAATAAAATCACATTACAAAATGCAAAACACAAGAAGGCCACCATACAGTTTTTATGCTTAATTTCTTACAAGTTAGTTCTTTATTGTACCATTTTTTTTTGACAAGTCCTGTCAATATCCCACGGATGATAGGCCAGATTTGCTTTCCCAAGTAGACCATCATGGCTGCTGCAATTAGGTTCCACTTGTTAATCATGTATACAATGGGAAAGAAGGGTGAGAATGGGTGAGGGGATAATTAAGGGGGAGAGAGGGAAAAAGGTAGATAATGAGTGCTGAAGGAAAAAATGTCTTACAAACAACCAGCACCGAAAATTGAAATGAACAGTGTTACATTTGTACTTCATAATTATTTTTTGTAGAAACTAAACACTATAGCATCATTATATTTTTGTTACAACTTTTGAAGTCTTTTTTATCTTAATTTTAAATGATCTTAGATTTGAATATTGTAATTTTTGGCTTAGTTAAAATTTTAATCAAAAAGTCGGACATCAGTAGATTTTATATTTAATTCTTTAAATTCTCTTCTACATTCCGTTTTGTATTTCCTAATCCCTACTGAGAAAATTGAAATTGTGACATTGTAGCTACCACATTAGAAGATTTTAGTCGTTGAAAATCTATATTTAAATGCCACAATTAAAAATTTGTCTTTTTTTTATATCTTTCTAAAAATTAAATAAGGAAAAAAATAAAGTTTAATCTTATTCTAACCAACCCTTGGAAATTTGCATCCAACTGATTCGAGTTATGTAATAAATGGATTAAAATGTATTTATTACATAAATTTTAATAAATTCATTTCATCCATCTCTGACAAGTTAATAGTTTTTTCCTGAATTTCTGTGTGTTTGAAGACAGCCCTGAGACTGCAGTGATGAGAGGCGACCTGTGTGTGAGGTAGACACTATGTAGTAAAAGTTTCTCAGAGCTTCCCAACTGATCTAAACTCTAAATTGTGGAAGATAAGCAGGAATCTGGACCCTCTGGAGGCAAAAGGGCATTTATCTATGAATAGCAACATAGACGCTTCTAGGGGCTACAAATGAGCAGACAATAAATATAATATTTTTATTTAGCTTCCAAATACACTCCAAAAATAGAAACAATATCTGCCTGCAACAATTTATCATGAATGGTTCGGATGTTTAAATGCAAGTTTGGTTAATGAAAACACCTAAATATGTAAGCCACCTTTTTTTTTTGTCAATTACTCTCAGGTCAAAAAAACAAAAAACACAACTCAAAATTTGCATAGCAAACACTGTTCATGTAAAACGTCCTATTTTTGTTTACTTCTAGTTGCTTCTAGTTTAATTTCATCATATATTAGACATATATGCTTTTTATAAGCAGAAACAGGTACTATTCCATTTATAGGTAGCCCGTTTCAATTTAAAATGTAAATCCTTGCTTACATTTCTGTAAGCATTTACATTATGCTAGTGTGCATTGAAAGTTAACATCCACTGTAAAAAGATAACATCTATTTGGAAGAAAGATTTGTGG